CATCCAACCCCGTAATTCAAATGCATCAATTCTTGTCTGGTCTTCCTTATTCACTGTCCAATTTCACGTGCAAAGGAGGCAATTGTCAGGAGGGACCAGTCCCTGGAGAAGGACATCACGCTTGTTAAATTGGAGAGTCAGTGAAAAAGAGCAAGCTTACCAGTTGCTCCTTGGAACCCCTATACAGGGTCTGTATGGATCAGAAGCAACTCGACGGCACTTACTAACAACAGGTGGGAGGTTCAAACCCACCAGCCACCCAGTGAGAGAAAGATGAGGCTTTCTGCTCCCATAAAGACCAACAGTTTCGGAAACCCCATACGGAGTCGGTATGGGCACCCTGTGCCGTGGGTGGAGTTGGATTTGGGGTCCCCTTGCTGGAAACTGCATTCAGCTTGAGTCTTCAGCATCATCCAGAGGAAAGACTTTGCGAGTTGAAGGCTCAACTCTTCCCCCTTGTCCTTGGGAGACTGACGTTCAAGTGTTTGCCTCTTGGTAGCTGTCCAAGGTACCACGGTGCATATACAGATCCATTTTTATGTTCAGCCTTTTTAGTGGTTTTTTGGCAGGAGGTTTTGTCTGCAAGAAGCTGTGTCCCCAATTATAAACAGTGGAAAAATCCATCTTCCATTCTTGAGGTGAGGGTAAGCTTCTATTTTTAGCTTTTATCATCACTCCTGCAATCACTTTTTACAAGTTCATACACCATCAGGAAAGAAGTGTTTCCGTTACATTTGTTCCGGATGTATCTGCTGCAAAACACCTCTTTAAAGATGTCAGATTGAGGACTAAGGTGCATCTGGCCCAAGCCATGATATTTTCAGAAACCTCATATGCATGTGAAAGCTGGACAGTGAATAAGGAAGACCGTAGAAGAATGGATGCATATGAGTTATGGTGTTGGAGGAGAATATTGAAAGTGCCATGGGCTGCCCATAGAACCAACTGATCTGTGTTGGAAGAAGTGCAGCCAGAGTGCTCCTTAGAAGCCAGGATGGTGGGACTTTGTCTCTTGTACTTGTGACATGTCATCAGAAGGACTAGTCCCTGGAAAAAGACATCATGCTTGGTAAAGTGGAAGGTCAGGGGGAAGAGGAAGACTCCCAGTGGGTTGCTTGACACAGTGGCAGCAGTAATGGGCTCAAGCATTAGAATGATTGTGAGGATGTTGCAGAATCGGGCAGGGTTTCATTCTGTTGTGCACAGGTACACTGTGAGTAGGAAGTTTCTTCATAAGTAGATTCCACTCATGGTGCCCCCATGTGTGTTAGAGTAGAACTGCGTCCACAGGGTTCTCAGTGGATGATTTTTCATAAGTAGATTCCACTCATGGTGTCTCATGTATGTGTCAGAGTAGAACTGTGCCCACAGGGTTCTCAGTGGATGATTTTTCATAAGTAGATCCCACTCATGGTGTCCCCATGTGTGTCAGAGTAGATCTGTGCTCCACAGGGTTCTCAGTGGAGAATTTTTCATGAGTAGATTCCACTCATAGTGCCCTGTGTGTGTCAGAGTAGAACTGTACTCCACAGGGTTCTCAGTGGATGATTTTTCATAAGTAGATCCCACTCATGGTGCCCCTGTGTGTGTCAGAGTAGAACTGTGCTCCACAGGGTTCTCAGTGGAGGATTTTTCATGAGTAGGACTATGGGTCTTTCTTCTGAAGCCCTTCTGGATGGAGTCTAGCCTCAAACCTTTTGGTTTGCAGCCAAGCATGTTCACAGTTTGAAATCATCCTGTGCTAGGTTTGATGAGTACTGTAAAATCTCTCAGCAGTGCATCTTGTAGAAGAGATGGTGTATGGCTTGGGAAAAACCTAGCATTTGTTAACTTTCTCAGAGAACAGTTAGCACTGTGGGCTTACTTGATGGAAAAAGCAGCTCTCTGTCTGTGTTGATCCGTGGGTCATGCAATCCACTAACTCACTCAGCTGATCATTGAAGGGTTGGAGGGTTGACTCTGTCCAGAGGTACCTCAGAAGAAACGTCTGGCTATCTGCTTCCCAAAAAAACAGCCTCTGAAAACCCCATGGAGTAGTGTTCTGCTCTGACACACGTGGGGTCACCGTGATCATAATCGGCTTCACAGCAAATAACAATGACAAATCTCTGAAAGGTTGGTCGTTCTAATGAAAACAGAGGCACTTTGGAAGAAAAGCGTGGCTATCAACTTCTGAAAACTCTACGGGGTGCAGTTCTCCTCTGAAACACATGGGGGCACTGTAAGACTGAGTCATCTCCAAGACAACAAGTTTGTGGATTGGTACAGATTTAATGATGAGTTGGTTGTGTTTTCAGCAGCCACTGGATAGAGCTGAAGACAGCCTGTCCGAGGACATGTTGGAACCTGGACAAGAACTCCCTGTTGAAGACACAAGGTCCCCAGCTCTCCAGGATACAGTGGAGGTGATATCTATCCCCCAGTCTCCTTGCCCTGCCTCTTCTGGGTCTACTGATGAATTCTCACTTCTGTCCGCGCCCTCTGCTGGTTCTAAGCGTAAATCACACACTAACTCAGTCCCCTCTCTGGGTGCACCCTTTCTCTTCTGACCTCTGTGTCTGTCTGTCTGTCTGTCTGTCCCGCGTTTGCCTGGGGTGGTTGATCGCCCCTGTTTCCCACCTACACTTCTCTCAGTGGTAGGGAACATCCTGCCTGCAAAATCATTTGGTCTGACCCTGCCAAGACAACCTCAGGTGGGACTCGAAATTCAATAAATCCACGAGTTTTTTTCACAGCAACATTAATTTATATGCAGTCATGCTATAAATATTCAAATAACACTTGTCAGAAAAAAGGTTCCCCACCCCTGCTCTAAATGCTGTTCTGCAAAAGTTATTCACGCGGGAGCTGATTACTGACAAATCTGTTTCTGAAATGAAGGGAACTGGGAAATTGAGGGTGAGTGTTTTTATCCAAGTCCAGTACTCAGGATAAAATGAAACACACTCATTTCCAGCTCTCTCCTCGGACGACTGTCCCCATCAAGACGTCATTTTGTCTGTTGGTGTGTTTGTTGAAGGCACGAAAACAATTTCACCTGTTAAACTTGTTTTCATTCCCGGGATCCTATTCCCTTTGGAGCTCACAGGAGCTCACAAAATCCTATTTTCAGAGGAAAAATTTCCAGTGGGATAAAACAAACAACTCTTTCTTAATGTCTTACATCCACTGCCGTCAACTCGATTCTGACTCACACAGAACTTACAAGACAAACTAGAACTACCTCATCTTTCTCCTGCAGAGCCAGTGGGTTCGAACTGCCAACCTTTGGGTTAAGTAATGTTGTTAGGTGTGATCGAGCCGGTCCCGACTCTTAGTAACCCTATAGATGGTTTCCAGTGTTATCAATGTTTACAGGAGCAGAAAGCCTCATTTTCGCCCAAGAAGTGCCTGGTGGGTTTGAACTGCTGACCTTGAAACTAGCAGCCCATTTATTCTAGAGTGGCCCAATGCTGTTTGGGTTGTTGTTAAGTGCTGTCCAGTCCATTCTGACCCATAGTGACCCTGTACAGGGTTTCCAAGGCTGTTAATCTTTACGGGAGCAGAAAGCCTCATCTTTCTCCCGC